TTATTGATTCTGTATTATTTTATTCTTTGCAGCATTTAGACTCTTCTCGATACGCTTGACAACACATGAACGAAGAGGAGGAGAGGTAACCTACAACTGCGCGATTGTCTGGGAGGTTAGTCTTCAACTGCAGGATCTATGCCAGTACAAGCAGGGTTTGGCATTGCATGTGTTAATATGCACTTCAACAAGTAATTATGTAGACATCGCAGTGTATTTGACTGCTATTACATGGCCTTTGGGACGTTTGTTGCATTGTACCATTTACAGTCGCCTGAATTACATGTAAAATGTCTTTGTAACATTTGACAAGTCCAGTATAAATAGAAATATAAATCGAACCGTTTGTCAAGAAGCTTAACCGCTTTCCAATTCTGACCAATCAGGAACCTGTTACAAATTGGAGCCGGTTCTCAATACCCAACCGTAGTTGTCTCCTTGGTAACCTACTTCCCCTCAGTCATATTATCTGCTCTGTGACACGCATAACTGAGAGTCAGAGGTTGCATTCATCATACATCGCCTCTGGATTTTAAAACACAGATCTTTGACACAGTTATAAACAAAATTATTTGCTGTAGGATCACAACTTCTACCTTACGACAGACCCGAGTGGCTGAATGCACAGAATTGAGCACAGAATTGATATTTCAGTGAACATTTTGGCTGCTAAATTTGATTTTTAACTCCCTTCTCAAATGTTTGCTGTGACGTACGCTCTCGAATATTTTACAAATGTGACATATCATCCTGTTTTTAAGTCACTGAGCAGCTGAGCAAATGAAGGGGAGTTACTTTACCATGTACTTCCACAGACTACTGCATCACCTCATTCTGTGTTGTTTTTTTACGGTATCTTTTCAGGAAAACGAGAGAGTAACATTATGTGGAAGGGCCCTTCAGCCAGGTAAGTCAGCTGAGCTGTGTGCTCTCTTGAGCAGTGATGATGACCTGACTGGGTAAGAAACATTAGGCAGCCAATTACATATGTAAAGAATGGTTAGCTGGCCAGACGTCGAGCAAATTGTTCATGGGAATTTAACCAGGATACTGGATTTAATACTTCTTATCTTTATGAAATTGAAATGGGATTTTGGTTCATCACTAGAGCCAGGTGTGTGTGTGTTTGTGTGTGTGTGTGTGTGTGTGTGTGTGCGCGCACAATCTCAACACATTATTTGCTCCAAATGTTGATAAATGGCAGCAGACAGATTTAAAGTTAAGATGCTGGCACACTGAATGTGTCCATGAGGCAATTCTGTGCTTTTTTCCACATTGAAAATGTTTTATTCAGGTTTAGTAAAAGCCCAGGAGACCAAATTGAACAGCATATATGAGAAAAGCTGCTCTCATCCAGATAAATATATTTTTTTGCAAGATGGCTGCTGCATGGTCAGGTTTATCATGTTTATCACAATGCTTTTTGGGTATCAAGGGTACGCACCTGAGGTCAGGTAAGGACTGTCAAAAAGTTGAGGCCAGCACATAAGAGCATCTAAAAGGCTACATCTAACAAACCTACAGCCGTGTGACGGAAAATAACTTCCAAGGCCTGGAAACTGAACATCATTTTTAGAGCGAGCTTAAAATTTCAGTGCAGAAAATGTTGTGTCCTCTTCAGATAACATATAAATAAATCTCACTTTTGACAATAAGAAAGCATGCGTAAAATTAATTCCTTCTCCACTCGTGTATAAGTGAAAGGTAAGAGAATGGCATTCAACCTACCGGTTTACAGTAAGATCAACTTACTTGCATGCATTTCTCCAATAAAATTAATAAATATGACACTAACCTAAGTACCTATGCAGTGAAGTTTTACATCGCTGCCAATGGTGCAGGTGAGAGCCCTGCCTTTATCAGTCAGTGAGATAACATTGGAACACAACACACAATAAAATAATCAGTTACTAGTTTCTTTGATGATGTCACATAGTATCCAGTTTTTCAAACACTAGTTATCATTTAAATGTAGTTATGATGAAACGTCTATAATATGAAACATAACACCTGTTATAAATGAATAAGAACAATATATAAATGAGTATATAAATGAATAAGAAAATTCTATATTACAGGTTTTTTAACAACCTTTAAGTCAAGTTTTACACACTATTTTACATGACACAAGTTGTTAATTTAACTTGTACATATTTTTGATGCAAAATAATACTCAGACACCATAAACTGTATCAACCAGTCCATAAAAAATCACATTAATTAAAAAAGGGGATAACATAGTGTAAGTATGGAACACTGTATAATTTTGCATTGCTAATGCACCCAGGCTCTGATGACTGATCCAAGATCAGTGACCCAAGTCGTAATATCACAGTGCCCTGAGGGCTTCTGGGTAATGCGCAGCTTGGCCTCCTGGGGCTGGAGATCACCGTGCCGTTGACAGCCAGCTTTGACAGGGCCTGTGGTAAGCCCGCGGCAGACGGATGGGAACACGCAGATCAAATCACATTCAATTAGTGGAAACAGATACCCGTCATTACATTAAGAGCACCTCAGAGATATCAGTCAAGTCCTGTATAGCTGCATCCAATAGAGTGGTAAATCTATTAAGGAAAGCATCGATAAATGAACTTGTCTTTTCTTGCCAATGCGATTTTCCGTGTCACTATTGAGGTGCATGTAAATTCAGTATGTGTGGTGATGAAGCTGTTTCTTTCTGTCCTACTGAAGTAAATATGGCGTTTCTTAAATTTTTTTTTTTACAAAGGGAAACGAGCTGAATGTGCCTTCATCGTCCTGTGCCCTTGTTAACGCTGTAAACAAAAACTTAACGTTTTTCTACTAGTTTTCTGTAAAAAAAAAATGTTTCTGTTTTGGGTTTTTTGGACAGTCCAGCATTTCAGAGGAGCAAATTAAAGGATACATACATTTGTTTTTTTTTAAACATAATTACACCAAATTTACACCAAAGGCTCATCACTTTAATCGTATTTTGAGTTAAAATAAAGTGTAATTAAATATATACTACTTTTACTTTATTTAATTGATGTGTGTATGAAGATTCTGTTTATTTTTGCTGTAAATATATTCCGTCATTTAATTTGAGAATGACATTTTATTGATGGTGTACAGTAAATAAGAACATTTTGCATCGAAAATTACTCCATATAACGCTAACCTAACAGCAGTCCTCAGTGATTAGATCAATAATCGCTTCACAGACTTTAGAAAGTGAAAATATTTCTGCTGAAATTGGACATGTGACCCTTATTAGAGTCAACCGTTATTTGATACGTCAAACCACTCGGGATTAATCTGTATCAATCCATATTCTATTACTGTGTATCTGTTTTGCTGCGGTTCGTCAGAAGCCCAAACGTACACACGAGTTAGGTTTGAAAGAGCCAATCTAACGACTGACCTATCCTACACAAAGGCCTCTCTATAAATGAAGAGGGTGGCCAGGATTAGTTTTCTCCCATGAGGTCATCAAGCATGCATTTGTTATTGACTGAAGTTCTAACCTCCTACGGCTAGCGAGCCCCGCTTTCAGGAAGGACACAAAAGGCGCAGTCTTAAATACGCAGAACAACTCGCCTTGCTTACCAGTACATGGGAATGCTGCACAAGACTGGAAGAAATCTGTCGTTTTTAAACTTACTTCATGCATTCTTTATATTTAATCCAATGCCTTTTCCTTTCTTTCTTTTTTTGAGAGAGAGGCACACATTTTCGTCAAAGCATTTTAACACAGCTGGTGCATAATTATGTTTGTCAAAAGGCCTGAGACATAGAAATTTAGGGCTGTCATAGAAGCACGTGTTTTTTTTTTGTAGAATTGTTCCAGTAATTGTTCAACTTCCCTCCTTTGAACTCAGGGTTTGAATAATTGGGTCGTGACGCAAAAGACAGAAATATACAGAATATCGAAAACCAAGGGAGCATCACTTAAGATGCGTCTAAAGTATAACACTGATAACTAATGAATGGAGCTATACTGAGAATCAGCGCTGTTAATATAATTCATTGATCACAGTACAACAAAACACCGTGTGTGTGGGGAGAATATACATAAACTAGCCTGTATGTATTTCAAATACTGTAAGTTATGATATGTGGCAAAGAAAGTCGGATGACTCTCATACCAGTTTATATACATGACTGAAAACTTTAAACCTGGGTGTGGATGCCATCTGTGGGAGTAATTGCTTATTTTATCTTGTGGAATTGTGCCAGATGCAATGTGTCTGTGTGTACATGCCACTAAGATATAGAGTTATTGAGAAGATTCTGATGATGGAGGAAATACAAGTTTCAGATTAGGTGATCAGTTGGAGACTTCAGGTTAGGTTTCAGTTTTACATGCACTGACATGTTATTTCTGAACAAATAGCATCATATGTTGGGATACAAAATTGTTTGTCTGTACGGAAGAGCTGTCCTCAGTTTGTAGTCTGGAAGAAATAATTCCAAAATTTTGGAAAATGGCAGTGAAAGCCTTAAAAGTATAGCATTTGACACATGCTTACTTGTTTTCTTACTGGTTCAGAGGATCACTGAAGCATCTAGGAGGTTTGTGCGCTGCACTAGTATTGCCTGGCGACGGTTGACATGATGTTTCATGAACTCCATCATAATGGAGCTACGCTCAACACGTTTCTCATATGGAACCAACCATGTGACATATGGTCGGGTCAACAATTCACCATGTCTTTCCTCAACCTTACAACAGGGGGTGCTATCTCCGTGCAATCACGAAGCACAGACAACCCAACTGCCTCCATGTTCTTATCGAGATAACGGACATAAATTCCAGGAGCAGCTTCTGGAGGGGTTAGAATCTGGCAAACATGACTATTTAAAGAGCACTTTTGTAAAATGGGAGACACAGAACACTTATTATTCAGATCGGTGAAACAACTATTGTAAAAAGTGCAAGCAACAACAACCTACATTCAACCGATGCATTTGTTAGGCACTATCCATTAATATTTTTATGCACTATCCATTGATACACATGACTGTTTACTGGGGTACAGCAGCAGTGCCCTACCTAAGAATTGAACCTGCAACCTTTGAGGTGCAAGCCCGACGCCCTGACCGCTGTGCTACACTACCCACTCATCAGGTGTGTCCACACCCCTCCTCCCCCTTTAGAACAAGCAAGGAAATAACAGTGAAGGAAGATGCTTGTTTTTTGAGGACACTGTAAATCATACTAGCCTGTCATTGTTGACTGGGGAAGCTTTATAGCCAATCTGACTCAGTTATTATCCCCCCCGAGACACTGGCTCCTTGGCAGAGAGATTGAAAACGCCATTGTGTTTCAGGAAGCCTCTCCCAGAATAATTACCATTGAATCTGAGGTAACAGGAAGTCGTATTAGAAAGCATGGCTTTGCACAGGATAAAAGAAAGAAAGTGAGACTGCTAAGCACAAAATTGCAAAAACACATGAGTCTTCACCATAAAAGAATTTGTTTATTAATGCCCAAAAGCTTGAGCTCCTTTTTAAATTTTATTTATAGCGTTTAATATAGTGTTTTGGCACACAAAGCTGTTCTTCGGATTAGTTCTAGTGGAGACATTTTAAATTAAAGAAACTCAATATTTGTATATAGTATAAAATAATTCCATAGGACTAGGCATATCAGAGAATGAAAAAGTGTTTCAGAGAGCAATCCCAAGGGATTTTTGGGACAGTATAATGGTTAGGAAGCGGGCTCATATCCAACTAGGGAACTTCCCTTGTACTGTTTTTGCAAAAGTACTTCACCTGTATTGCTTTCGTATCCATCTAGATGGATACTGTGTAAAAAAAAATATAAGTGAATTTGATAAAACACATTTATTCTTACTTCATTCAATGGCCTTGTTGATGCACTTTGGAATATTTTCTCCTTCACTTTATAATCACAGACATGTGACTTCTCAGTCCTACAGCTTTTATTGTGATGCTGAATGGATACATTTGAAATACCCCTCTGGGCATTTATGTGACAGGGTAAAAGGCTCATTCATATCTTACAAAATGGTTGTGTGATATTATTTGTTATCAATCCTGTTAAACGTATATTTATTGGATTTTAGGATGTTTGAGTAGGTCCACAGCATTGTTTCTCATGAATTATATCCTGGGGTTTCTGTATTGACTTTAAAGGGGATTATGTGTTTCCATAAAAAAATTCACTCTAAAGACGGAGCCAAAGTACTATAATTTAAGCCAGTAAATAAGCCTGAAGCCTGTTTCTTATTCAGAAAGGATGTTCTTACATGTTATACATGGTCTTGCTTTGCTCATTGCCATAAGAGCATGAGTGTCATCGTTCTGGTCCCTGTGGCATTCTGATAAGCAAAGATTGAAGCGGGAAGAGCCTGATCTCGGATCAGTGTCGTCTTTTAGTTCAAAACAGATGAGGTCAGAAAATGGATAGGGCAAACCGATCCTAGAACAGTACTTCAAACTGAAATGGCTGGTTTCCCATGATTAAGCCTGTGGCAGTCACACATTCTGTGGTGCTTGTTGGTGATTTCCTGTAGTGTGTCATTTTCTTCATCTGTTTACTTTTGGGTTTTGCTTTCAGTTCATTCGATTCCCTCAGCTGAGTAATGTGATTGGAGATTTATTTGGATCACCTGTGTTCAGCAGTGTGGGGACTGGCTCCTCATTCGTGATTGAGAACAGTTACGGTGAATTCCCCTTTTGGCCAAAAAGTGTGTGGTAATGCTTTAATTGCCTTAATGATGGCATAGCCCTGCAAGCTGTATTGATTTGTTTTATTGTTGCTTTTATTTTATCCCTCCTAAAGTTAAAAGTTTAAGTTTAAGTTAGTTGTCATGAGGTAAATTATTTCCCTTCATGTGGTTAGGAACTTTTTTCTCCTCCCATCCTTCCTGATCAACTGAAGATTGATTTCATTATTGCCACAAGTCTAGTTTTAAACCAGTGGTGTCCAGCTCAGGTCCTGGGGGGTTGCAGTGTCTGCTAGTTTTTGTTATTTCAGCACTTTAAATTTTCAGCACTTTCAGCAAGTTAAATCACTGATTGGCTAAGGAGTGTACACGTATGTTTTCCAAAGGCCAATGGAATGGCTGCCAGTGGAAAGCAAACCACAAAACGCCACAAAATTTCAAGTTTTGACAACCTTAGTTAAACAAGAGATCATTTGGCACAAACGCCATCCTATCCAGAGACACTACAGAGCAATTCTGCATGTTTTGGAACAGTCCCAGTGGATTTAAACATGTCACAGCTGAATTCTCTGCCCTTTGAGTTCTTATTGGCTTGTCACATGGTGTTACTAAGGGACTGGTCTCACCCTCCAATGGTCATTGGACAAGGACTGCATCCATTAACTTAAATTAGAGAGCATTCAATACCCCTTCACAGGGTCCTCTGGTAAATTCCTTAGAATTTGGCAAGCGCAATGTATTACGTTTGTGAGCACTTGGCGCCATCTAGTGGCAGTGGAACCATGAACGGAGCCTTTTGTTTAATCATCTTTCTCTTTTGGTTTCTTTCTTTTGCCTTTTTCATCTCTAGGAGTACATGGTCAGGACCAGTGTTATGACCAGAGTTAATTTAACCCTTGCTGACATAAAACTCACACAGCATATTTCTATTTTACGCTGAAATTTGTTGTAAAGTTTGTCGTCAATTAAATTCAGCCATCCTTTGAAATCGGTAAAGATTTTAATTGGAACTCAGTTCCCATCTTTTCAAGTTTAAACCACAGATTACATTTCAAAGTAGTGAGCTCCTCTACACATTTATGTATGTATATATACAGATGACAAATACACACCTATATTCATACATATTTATTCCTTCCCTAACCTATAGCCCAAACCTACAGCCATGGAACAGCTAGCTTACATTCAATTAAGGTGATTGCTGTGCTGTTTCAGCTCCTCCAGTACTCTGTGAAGTCAATTTAGTCCTCTTAGTAATGTGATTCTCATTATGTCTTTAAATGCAAAAGTGTGTTGCCTAATACATGTATGTGTGCAAATGGACACAAAGTCCTGTATGCCACTTATGTTTTCACAATCTTTGTGGCATTAACTGAAGAAGAGTAATGATATAATATAGATATGTTAAATACTATGTATATCCACATTTCAGTTCTTTTATAAAGCATTTTTGGTCATCTCCCTCTGCTTGCTCATGAAAGACTTACAGAAAGCTCATCAAAGAGTTTACTGATGTTGTCTAAAATATCATTCGGAGCAATTCCTTGCTATGAAAATCTCAAATTCATGAAAACAATTCAAAATATTTTTCAACATTACAGGTTCTGAAAACCAGACAAAACATATGCATGATAAAAGTAGTATTTATCACAGCTTATGTAGTTTTGTATTTGTTAGCAAAAATAAAAGGCATTTTTACATTTAAACATTTCATTTTCTGAGCCAATGTGAATGTACTGTATATGAGAAAGCATAAAGCATAATTCAGTTAGATATTCCATAAAATATCCATTCCAGTATTCCAGCTGTCAAAACAGTATTTCTATGAACCAATTAGCCAAGTTACTGATTCATACAACTACGTACACAGTAAAATTCTTTAAGACTAATGGGGTTCCTATGAGTTCCGTAGTGGTCAAATGTACTCCAGCAAAGTAAAGTTTTCCCAGGTTTTTCTTTTTTACTGTCTACAGATATGAATTGCAAACAACAAACAAAAATAGAATTAAAGTGACATGCTCAATGACAATGTTCCTTAATTGTCACTGGATTCCAGTTACACACAGAATTGCAAAGTTGGGCTACTCAGACGCACAAAAAGGAAATTGTATTTAAATTTTCAACCCAAAATTAGGAAAAAGAAATCCCATCTTGGTCAATAACCAGAACAGACAATTGCGTAATTATTCCTCCCCGGACAAAATGTATTTTCAAAGTTACTTATTTTAATCTTGCAAAAGTTTTTATTTATTGTTTATCGTATTTATGCATCTCCCAGTGGGAATCACCTTTCATGCCTTCAAGCACAAACAATTTCCAAAAGAAATCAGAAATACCTTTAGATGCCCTGGAGGAAGAAGGACGAGGTGATATTTCTATTCCCTTGCATTCTAACGCATCTCCCGCTCTCTGCCGACTGAAGACGAATGCTTTCAGCCTCCGCCGCATATTTTAATTGGAAGCGGGCCGCTCACGCTATCGGCGAGCGCATCTATCTCTCAGAACCTCTCGTGAGACGATCGTCCCCAACTCTAATTTTTTCTTTTATATTTATGCCAGAATATTTAATTTTAGACAAAAGGTTACTCTAGCGGAAAGTCGCGGTTTGGAGAACCGGAATATTCCCCATTTAAAAAGCTTGACATTTCAGGCTTTTCAAAGGAAAAAGTGGCAGAGAAAAATGATATTCTTTCTTTTGTTAATCAATGAAGTAGAACTCTCCTGGACAAAGGACATAAATTGGTGGGTTGGTTTAATGAACTCAGTGGAAAATGTGGCTTCCTTTGGGCTTTTGTAAGTAGTTATTGCCCATTCAACTAGAGCTGTGATTTATTTATTTTATACGATTTATCGGTGCAGCTCAAACTGTTGGCTTTTAAAATCGTACCTTAAGGACAGAATTCAAGGACATAATTATTAGTGAGCCTTCATTTTACTGAATACTGCAGCTAAGTCAAAATGTGTCATGTTCATATTCTACTTGCAGGTTGAAAACATTGTCATTTAGTATACAAACGAAGGCAATAGGGGCCTTTAACTTCAGTATCACCTTCGTATCAACCTTTTGTCTTTCCAGTGACAATACTGCTTTCATCTACAAGAGAAATTGTATCTTTAAATTGCAGTTTGTCGTGTAAAATCACTAGTTATGTTTGACAGAAGAAACCGAGTGTTTTATCAACGGTCGTTACCTGAAATAGATGTAAAATGTGTCTTTCAAATCTGCCTGTCGGAATAAGCTGTGGCCTGTCGAAAGTTTGCCTCAAGTAGAACATCTTGACAACATCCACCATCTGTGCTGCAGTTGCGTTTTGCCGCTGCGACTCAGCGAGTTCGCGACATTGCGATTCACTTTACGGCACGCCAAATGATCAAGTGACCTTATTGTGCATGCTGGACTTAGAAATGGGAACTTATCAAGTGTCT